GCTGAGGTTGGGAGGCACCTCTGGAGGCCATCTCATCCAACTCACCTGCTAAACACAGTCACCTAGATCTTGTTGTCCAGAACTCAGTCCATTTGGGTTCTGAATACCTCCAAAGGATGTAGACTCCTTTATTGAGTCTGGTTGAGCTGGAGTTCATTTCCCCATAGTAGCCCTCACAGTGCTCTGCTTTGCATTGGTAGCTAGAAGGGTGTTGTTTTTCCATGAAGCACCAAACAGCTTTGTGAATTAAGTGACATTTTGTGATATCCTAGAGTTTTGAGGCAGAATATATATCAGTGTTAATAGGTGTGCTAATTTACCAAAGCTTTCCTTATCCCGGGATTCCCGTGCTACATTATGAGATATTATTTATTAAGGATGATTTTTACATTATTTGTTATTTGCAGTTCTTTTAATTGCTAGTTCTAAATGTTTAGCTTTTTACTTATTTCTCAAGAAAACATAACAGAATTTAATTTTGGCTGAGGAGTGAGAACACTATTTGCCCACTGTGTTTGGGTACTCTTTTCTGCATATGGAGTAAGAAATTATTTGCTCACTTCATTTGGGTGGATGGATAGGAGATGTACACTTACTAGTGTTGTGGTAGCCGATTTTGAAATAAAATTCACTCCGATATGCATTTAGGTAAAGAAATGTGTCTAGGAAAGGGCAGGCCAGATCATATCTGATAGCATAGTTCTTTTTCTCTTAATGAGTCCTGGTAATTGCAGTGAGGGGATTTGTTCCCCTTGAACAGTCCAAACCTCTGACTTTGGGAAGGAAGTAATGTTAGATAAACTTAATCTGCTATTCTAAGGCTCTGTGTGTGAGTGTGTCTGTATACACATGTGGATGTTTGGGGATTATGCTTCCTGAAGGGGCTAGAGAGTCAAACTCAAGTTTGACACCATGATAAAATATCTGATCTGATGTGATCTCTGGAGATTATTTTCTTAGCTTTGAGCAGTTGTGGATACTATATGATGCATTATCAGAGACAATAATCCAAAGTAATGGATTAGTATGATGTACAACACAGAAAAAGCTCAGTGTCTAGTACAAAGAAAGAAAGGTTGTATTGGCCACTGAAGAAGTGCATCAGTGTTCTTTTGGGTTTGGATTTAATTTAAACCTTGGTATCAAAATACACTATAACTCACTAGCAAAACAACTTGTACTAACTTCTTTCCGAAGACTGACTGTGCCAAAAATGTTCTACTGAATAGTACTAATTTTCCTGCTTCATAGGAGCACCTCTCCTATGAAGACAGGATGAGAGAGTTGGGGCTGTTAAGCCTGGAGAAGAGAAGGCTCCACGGAGACTTTAGAGCAGCCTTCCAGTACCTAAAGAGGGCCCACAGGAGAGCTGGAGAGGGACTTTTTACAAGGGTATGTAGTGACAGGACAAGGGGGAATGGCTTTAAGATGAAAGAGGATAGGTTTTGATTAGATATTAGGAAGAAATTTTTCACTGTGAGTGTGGTGAGGCATTGAAAGAGGTTGCCCAGAGAAGTTGTGGATGCTCCATCCCTGGATGGAGCACTGAGCAACCTGGTCTAGTGAAAGGGGGTTTGGAACTAGATGATCTTTAAAGTCCCTTCCAATGCAAACCATTCTGTGATTTTATAACTCATAGATAACTACTTGTTGCAAACTTCTATCTGTAAGTAATCTGGAAAAGATGTAGTTTTTGATTGATATTCCACTTATTTTTATATGTGTACCAAATGCATTATAGATGTTATAAAAATTAATCCGAGGATCACATTTTAAAATGTGTTAACTCTGTTTCTAATGCAGAGTGATCTACGAGGTTCTAAAGAAACTACGAGGTTCATAGAGGGTTTATCTTCTTGCTCGTGATACAAAACACTGAGTCACACCTTTCGGTATTTTAACTGACAGATATCGCTACACTTTCACTTTTTTCAGGAGTTGTTGATGTTGGCTTTCTCTGTCTGATGATAATTTATTTTTTCTTTAAATCAGGAGTTTTCTCTGCATAACAGATGAAGTATTCTGTGAGTAATGTTGCTTATATTTACCTGTTGATATGCTGAACAGCATATTTCCTTTCATAGTGTTAGGCAGCTATCCTGAGAGGCTGAAACATGCACTTAGAAGAACAGGGACTTAATAAACAGGGAGAGAAGATATAGCAGGGTCCTTTAGTGGACAAATATTTGATCGTTTGTCATGCTTAATTGCCTGCTAGTTTTGTGTTGTGTGACGGAATAACAACCATGTGGACTATGTACAAGAACAACTGTGGTCTGAGATGCTGAAAATAGACCAGTTGATCAATTTACCACTTCTAAGTCTAGCATTATGGTCGGTATTTTCAGAGACCTGCTTTATAGTGGCCTATCTCTGTTCTAAAGTTTTGTACTATTACTGTGAGATAAAAGGTAGATGTGAAAAAAATAAAATGCAGAATAGAAAGGTCTGTGTCCAAAAAAATCTTGAAAAACTGAAGCAAATTTTATTTCCTGATTTTTATTCTGGTCAGAATTTCATGGGCCTGGCATCATTGCTTCTGTCAGTTACTTACTACTGTGGGATGTAGTAATTTTCCCTGAGTGTATGCAGACTATGCGTCTGCTTAGTTTTCCATGTTGGAAATATATATTTCTGATTCTGTATTGCATTTGATGGCTGTGTTGGAAGGGTACAAAATAGAATAACTTCCTGACATGATCTTTCAAGATCCAAATATTCCATGCTGGCCTGTCTGCAAGAATTTCCTTTTCACTGAAGTATTTCCCTATGCATCTGTCTCCATGTCTTCCCCAAGAAGAAAAGGAGTGTTAGTAAATAGAAGGAAGACCTTTTCTCTTTGTTTATTATTCCCAGGATGAATCTCCTTGAGCTTAGTGGTTAACACTGTCTGTGCTTTAAGTTTCCTTTTCTCGCACCTTGAACAGTGAAGGTCTGTATTACACTCAGGAGCTCAAAGTGCTTTGAATTCCAATTTTCAAGAATAATAAAATAATTCAGAAGTTGGCCCGTTGCTGCCGTGCTTCAAAACCTTACCCAGAAGAATGAAAACTGACTCTCTATAATGGGCTGGTAGATACCTTGGTATGCAGATAAGATGACAGACTTGAAGTCTCTCAGTTACAGCAGGCTCTTTATTGCAGGTGCAATGAACTCCTGGTGTCTGCAGTGCCATGGCCATTAGCATAAGTCACTCAGGTGCAGAAAGGGCAGGGAAATATGTGACATTAGCACACTGAGAGATGTTCTCTGCTCTGCCAGTTGACAACATGATGTCTGCAGGGTAGAAATCAGAGAGTCTGTACTGGGGAGGGATTTTGGTTGCATGCAGGATTTACAGCTGTGAATTAACAGAGATCTTTGCACTGGCAATTGATTAAAATTGATTTTGTGGAAAATTTTTCTGTGAAAAAGCGAATACATTCCCGCCTGTTGTGCTAGAACAACATTGACCTGATATCCTGATGCAGGCCACAAACTTTCAATGCTCAGACTATAGCACACGCTATTGTCAATGCTGCATCTTATGCCCAGAAACAAGAGGGTAGTGCTGAGTCTACATGTGAAAATTAGATTTGAGGTTGATGAGAATATATAGGATTTCTAACACCTGGAGTTCCCAGTTAGACTAAAGTACCAGTTGTTTGAGACCATCACATTTTGTCATATGAATTAGGAGTACCTTTCCTTTTTTTTTTTTTAGAATTGACCTGACAAGCTCAGGATTTTTTCATACTGCTTTTTCATCTCTCACTCACACCTTCAAGACCTTCTGAATATTATGCGTGATGCAGAGTCAGCTGAGTGCTCATTTCTCAGCTTGAACAGACTGCCTTGTTCAGGTACCTTTGCTAGGAAAAAGATGGATCTAGATCATCTGTTCTGTCAGCCTGAGAGTGCCCACCAACACTTAGCCCATGAACTTCAGGAGAAGCCGAATACTGGGGCTAATAACCCCATTATTTAATGCCTGCAAGCTGTTCTGTTTGATTACCAAGAGTTAAACATGCACTTATCCTTTTCTTGTCAGATGGAGCATGATTTAACCAATAAACTAATTACATTGTTCCAACAAAATACTCTTATTTGTAGCTGCCTGGAGATATAAGGATGAATGAATATACCAAATACTATTTAATAACTGATAGAGTGTGGGAATAGATTAGATGCTACAAAATTCCTGTCTGATACTTACTTTTAGTTAAATGCAAAATGAAGCACAGCAAGCCCTAAAATGAGTATAAAACTTTTGAGGTATATTTTGAATTATGCAAGATCAAAATTCCAAAGTTACAGTTAAATTTTTCAAGGTAAAACGTAAAACTAGTAAAACCAGAAGGAAAATAATCTGTTAAAAAAGTAGTTGCTTTGTTTAATTTTGCAAGTTGTTTTTGTCTGTTTAAATTTTTTCTATTTTGCAGTGTATTCAAACAGATTACTATAATTTCAGTTTTTTGCAGTAGATTTTTTTTTAATTAAACAAAGGCATTTAATGCTTTTTGCCAGGAAAATAGTTAAAACACACTTTTGTGCATTCTAAGGAAAATCAAAGATATGATAAGGTCACATTTTAATTTTTAGAAGTTAGTAGTTTGAGAAATTAGAGTCAAATACTACATTTTTATTTCAGCCAAACTACAGTAAAACCAGTGATATATTTTTCTTGAGATAAAATTTATTTAGAACTGCAGGATGTGAGTGTTTGGAAGGAAAAATAAGAAAGTGTTGCTATTTCTCTAGTTAAAACGAGGAAAGAAAGACCATTTTGTATGAAAGTCTCAGAGGGAAGTCCAAAGCTAATGAAAATTTCTCAGGTTGCAATATCTATTTTTTTTTCTTCCTTATTTTTTTTAGACTGCAAGCATCTCAAACCATTTACAAGAGATGTGGCAGGCAGGAATTGTTCAGCTTATAAGCACCCTTCAAAAGAGTGAAAACAAAAAAACCCCACTCCTAGGCTAGCCTTGAACTAAAATTCTCTCTTTTCCACTTATACCTAGGCAGTTCGGCAGAAGAATGTTAACCACCGGTCCCTAGCAGCGTATCCTGACTTCTGATCTCTTATATTAAAGAAAAACACCCACTTCAGAGAGAGTGCAAGACTGTGTGAAAGTAGAGAATACCACACCTCAGTTTAAAAAAAGGTAAGGAAAGGTTTTTCTAATAATCCTTTAAGACCGTAAGTGTTGTCTTCATTTAACAATTCATTAAGTTGAAGGCAGAAGTGAAAATTTAGATAATAATTGAACACTGAAGTATTTATTTACCCTGCATGTTCTAACTTAGAAAAAAGGATCCTTTTTTTATTGAAGAAAGAATGCAATTCTTGTGTTTCTGAGCTCAAGACTATTTGCTTTGTAGCTTTTGTGTGTATTTTGGAAAAAAAAAGAAAAGAAATGCTATGCAAAACAGCAAATATTATCTTTCATTTCAAGCACTGAAGTTATTCTTAGCCATGCTAAGATTTATGTAGTCTCTGGTATACCACACAACTCTCATTTTGCCAAGACATATACACAGCATGTTTGTAGAATGTTGCCTCTGGGAGTTGATGCTAAATAGTAGTCTACCATTTGTGCTTTTATCAGAACAGACCTGCACTATTTTCCTTTCTGCCAGGTTTTGGATTGACTGGTTATTTGTAAAATATTTACAACTCTGCTTCCTTTGACATTTCAGTTCTAAAAGGTATTGGAAGAAGCTGAAAACAGTTAAAACATACTGTACTGTGCATGTTTCCTCTCAAAGTGGAATAACAGCAGCAGAGGTTTTTTCCTATTCAGATTCTCTTTTTCTCCCCCCCTTTTTCTTTTCTTGTTTTGGGAAGAATGTTGGAATTCCAAACAATAGGTAATAACTTCTCTCTATAGCAGCCATTCTGCAATGTGGTTCTAGGGCAAATGTGTTCATCAGTGATGTCATTTGCAAACACCCTACTCTACACCCCATTTCTGTAAATATGGGTTTGGTGTCTATCTAATGTAGAAACATTGTCTTCGCTTTTGCACTAAACAATATAATTCTGTTATTTGAAGTTATTTTTGTGGTTTTAGAGAATCTGTCCTATCTAACCCATAACACTCTGTAAATTCACAAAGACTATTGATCACCTAAAAGTCCTGCCTTACTTGTGACTGTCTTGCCAAAATGTACATTTGGCTGGTGTGTTATGTGGCAAGAGAATAAACGACCAGCAGATATCATTAAAAACTCTTCTGAAATGATCAGCTGAAACATATTGGCTTACTTGTAAGAAACAAAGGTTCCGTTTTCTTGAGATGATCATAGTAATTTTGACATTTTTCTGCCATAAAAACCTACTACACCTCAGCTGAAGGTACACAGGTGTTTGTGAAATATCTCTTTGTGAGATGGTGTCTGTTAATGTATTACAGGTGGGATATGTTCTTATTTCTTCAAAGCAGGAAAATAAGAAATGTGCCACCACCAATGGAAAATGCTCTGTGAATGCAGGATGCTTCCCACCTGCTCTCTAACCTCATATTTCCATGCCATTTGTGTGTGAGGATTACAGATTCTGAACTATCTTCTGTTTCCTTTGAACAGACTTAGTTTGAGCAAGCAATATGGCACTTTTCAAATAGAACATTTTATACTTTGCCAAGTAAAATACAATACCCATTGGCTTAAAATACAAATATTCAAAGAGCAGTCTAGGATGGTGGTCAGGTGTGATCATCTCCAGACTGACTAATACACATTTCATAAATAAAATATGCAAGATATACATGTCTGTATATCTAGAATTTGCATATAATGTTTCTTCCAAGAGAATTAAAGCTAGGTTGCTTTTCTGACAGTGTACCCAGTGTTCTTTCATAACCCACCCACATATCCTGTTGTTGGAATATTCTGCTTTTTACTGCAGAAATAAGTCCAAAACTTTTCTAGAAAATAATTTGCACTATGAGTAGATATTTTGCTTAATCCATAAGATTCTTTTTGTTGTAAATCATTTGTAAATGTAGCATTAGTCTATTTTTGAACAAGGTTATTGAAGTCTAATATTTTGGGTTTTTTTCTAATACATACAAGATTTTTTTATAGTTGATTCTACCATTTCACATTTTCTAGGTTAAAATGCTTGTGGCTTTGGGATCATATTTATTGGACCCTACCCTGCTTCCCCCAAGACTTCAGTTTTCCTTTAAAGCCCATTTTTTGTTTTCATTCTTTAAAAAAGTGGAAGAACAGGAAACCCTTTGGTATTTTATGTGCTATTAAAGTTTTCTTTTTATTTCATTTGTATCATCCAAATCTGGTTTCCCCCCTTCATTCTGTAATTTCTTGTTCTCTTGATTTTGCTTCTCCTGTTCTTTATGCTTATCCAATTCGGATTTCTTTCTTACAATAACTGATGACTATGGATACATTTGATAGTGTTCTTTCACAATCACCACAGAGGAAGTACAAACAGCAAGGATTTTCTGAAATAAGTCACTGTTCAGTAACGAGCTATGCGAATAATCTATTTCCTGTTTTAATGAAGAAGATGGATAGAGACCTTGGTTTAGTCAACATTATATTGTAGCATTTGTTCATAATTAATTTTCTGGATTTTTAGACTACTCTTGCAATGAATTTTAGTGACAATTAGAATAAGCGGCAATGTGAAAAGGCCCTTGATTTTTGAACCCTCTACCTAGTAATGTGGGTGAATTGGAAGTCTTCTCAAATTTAATATCACAAAAACAGCCAGGAAGTCTTTCACTGACTTCATGCTCTGACTTCATGCTCTTCTGCAACTCAGCCTCGGCTTGCTTTTGTGCAGAACAATGTCATGTCCTCATTCTAGTCCAGTGAGGGAGTCACCCCACACACCAGGGAAAACTGCTTATTCAGTCCATGGTGTGTTCACTTGGTGCCTCTGGCTATGCTGGGCTGGGACCTGGGGTAGGTAGTAGAGCTCAGCTGCATCGCTCCATCCTTACACGATGTGGAAAACTACTAAAAAACTCACCTATCCTTCCCACTGCCATGTCCGCCCACTGTGTGGCCCTCCACAGTATCGTACTTAGAAAGAACCAACGTCTTTGTCTCCTCCATGATTGAAGTAGAACAAATAAAAAGATGACCTGAGAGTCGCAGCAATCTGAAATTATGTTTTCAGTTCAATGGAAAGTATTTTCTGATATGCAATTAATTAATTAGTTCAGAATATCACACTGTCTGTAGAACATTGCAGCAGGAGTGGAAAACTGGTGTGGTTACATCCATCTGCTGATTGTCATGGAGCAATAATTACTGTAAAAATACTAAAGATTTTGATGATCTGAAAACTAAACTGTAAATACCAAACACTTGTTTCATATATCATTTGGGGAATCTCCTGGTTGTGTGTATTTCTCTGTGTGGCCATCATATAGGGAATTGGAGTTTACCAGCTTAGAGTCTAGGCACTTAGTCCTTCTCTTACTAAGAGTTGTGAGATCCGTGCCTAAGATTTACCAGGTTGGCAACCTGTAAGCTTTTGGAAGTTGAGAGGTTTGGCTTTTTTTAACTATTATTGACAGGGAAGTGGGAGGGCAGTAGGTAGATCTCTTACAATGTGGAAGCTATACCTGACAATTTTGGGATCTTTCAGAGAGCCTGGAAAGAGTGAAGCTCCTTCTACAGAAATTTCCTTTGAAAGGTAATACTGTCATGCTGAAGAACAGGATTATAGTTGATCATCTCTCTTTGAAATAATGGCATGACAACTATAAATAAAACAACAACAGAACAAAACAAGTTGTCATGTCACATTTTTCAGATTCCTTAAGTCTCCCAATATATAACAGAACTAGCTACCTTTTGTATCTGCTCTGTTTCCCCAGGAAGCTGCCCAGTATGGAAAAACGTGTCTTGATAATTTTGCAAGAAAGTTTTTTGGGGCTGCTTATGTCTCAAAACGGGGTCCAAACCATGAAACTTGACTGGTTCTTGAATTTTTTTCAATGTGTTCAGAATTTCCTGTGTCAAGTCAATATTTTCACAAGGCTAGAAGCTATGTTTGCAAAATTTAGGTTAGTTTCTGTTTTGGTTTTTATTTTTGTGGTCCTACTGATGACAAGAGCTTATACAATTGATCCAGATTTAGTAATTCCATAGGCTACATTATTTTAATTTCTTCCATGCTGAATTCTGTGAAAATATCAATGAAGTGTGCTGTAGGCAAAATTATCTGAGGGCAGAAGGTGACTTATGCTTCTTCTAGTACTTTTAGAACTGGGCAAAAGAAAGTGTTCTCTATGGTTATTTTTTTTATGGCTGCTCCTACATAGCAGTTTTGAAGTTCAAATTTGAATCCTAAGAGTATTTAGGAATTCAGGTTTGTAGGATTGGAACAGGAAAAATTGACACAAATCCTGATTTGACTTTGCTAAAGCAATATTTGTGTTTGTGATGTCCTGCCTTAGGCATCCAGCTGTGGCTAAATAACCTTAGAAGCCCTATTTCAGGAAAAGACAATCAAATGCTTAATTTTAATATGATTTAGTGCTTCCTCGAGCTGAAAACTCACTATAACCCTGGGCTTCAGCGACTGACTAGGATGGAGAGAAGTAAAGCTCTTCAGGAAATTCTAAAAAGACATCCAAATAGATATCAGAGCTAATTACGATATGAAATGACATGTTAAATTCAGTTATGCCAATGGACTGACAAGCTGGTGTGTATTCAAAGACTTAAAATTCCCTGTGACCTTCCTCCAATCCACCTGAATGAATCTCTCAACTGAAATGCTCAGAAACTTAGGCAGCTTTTAAAAAGCTTCTTGGAGATCTGTAATGTCATGAACTGGCAGTAGGCAGAGGTGTCTTCAAGACTAGGTCCTTCTTCAGCTCCATGATTTTTATCAGTAAGTAAAAAGGGGAGCTGAACTCTCCTGCCATTGTTGGATAACATTTCCCACCACAGGATCCTACTGAGGTGACTAATTTTTGTTGATAAAACTCAGGATAAAACAATGTCATATAGTGCTGGTTTGTGTTTTACTTTGGTTTTATATTGCATGTGTATTCTCTAAAAGTGAGACTTCTTCCCAAAAATAAAGAATGGTTCTAGAGATGAAGCAAGAGTATGAAAAATATATGACCCATAGGCAAATTGTCTAGAAAAGCTCTTTAAGGACTTTTAAACTGTT